CATTTTTTCCCATTGCTAATGAGTAAATTATCAAGTACTGAGTCAATAAGTATATCAAAGACATAAATATTTTATGGATAATTATCCCTGCCAATTCCTCCAGCTTGAGGAGGAACCTCTGTTCAGGATGTTTTCCTTGAGGGCTGGTGCTGTGGCGTAGCAGGTAAAGGCACAGCCTGCGATGCCAGTATCCCATATGGATGCAGATTCGAGTCCCACCTGTTCCACTTCTAATCCAGTTCCCGGCTAATGCACCTGGGAAAGCAACAGAGGCTGGTCCAAGCATTTGGGTCCCTGCACCCACATGGGAGACCTGGAAGAAGCTCCTGGTTCTTGGCTTCAGTATAGTCCGGCCCAGCCCTGGCAGTTGTGGCCATCTGGGGAGTGAACCAGCAGATGGAAGATCTTTCTTTCTCTGTTTCTTCTTCTCTTCTCTCCCTCTGTGCTTTTCAAATAATTAAATATATCACTAAAAAAAAGAAAAGGCTATTTTCTTTAAAAGGCCACTACTTTTTCTGGGTTTTCCTAGAAGACCTACTTCTTGAGGGGTCTGATAAAAAGTCACCTTCACCTTGGTCTCTGATTGAAATGGATAATGAGTGGGCTGTTATCTTTTGTGAGTTTCCTGACCTCCAAGAGATAATAACTTTGGAGTTGCGATGACAGGAGAAAATCTTCATGAAACTTTCATTTACTGTCTCCAACCATTAGCAGACTAGGTCACTCAAAGAAATTTAAGGTCTCTCAATTTTCTAGCAGTATTTCAATAGTTTTGTTTTGTTTTGTTTTACTATATTTCACATAGAGTAACAGAAAAAGATTTTATTTTATTTGCTCCAAGATTTTTATTTTCTCCAGTTCAGATTGTTGTTTCCAGGGAGCTTGACATCACATGGAACTACTTCTTTGATATCTTAAATCCAAATATTACTGTTCTTGTAGATCCCTTGTTCAGGCTAATCCTTTCATATTGTTCTTGCACCTCATCAAGATCTTCTATCAGAACTCTACTATCTCCACTTGGACTTCAATCAGCTTACATTTTAACCATGCTCTTCCTAATTGTCTCAACTCAATCACTTCTATTTAGAGAATTCAAGGACATAATTCAGGTAAAGTAAAGACAGAATAGTGTTCAATAAATGGTAGCTAACACAACACAAATAATACTGTCTTCCTCCTTCCTCTTTAATCTATTTTATCAGTCTGTAAATCATGCAATTCTGGGCTCCTAAACTTTATTGGAGAAAAACCACTAAATTGTGCTTACAAGCAATGGTAAATTCATGCTTCCAGCCTTAACAATTCTAATGTTTCTCCAATTAGTTTTGTGAATACTTTAAGCCTTCTCCAATCTCCTCAAATCTACAGACAATTTCCCTTGTAATTCTCAAGCTCTTCTTCCTCCAAAAAAATTAGAAACCATCAGAAACAACTTCTCCAGGTCACTGTTACAACAAGACACTTGTTTCTGAATGTGTTTTTGGGGACTGTCTTCATTCATCTTTGACAGTTCCTCAATTGTGAGATCTGCTATCTCCACGTTTGTTCTCATGCTTCAGACCACTGTAATGTTAAAATGATCTATCACTATTACTATGCTTATCAAATTCGCATCTGCCATTAGAATCAAATCAATCACCTCGCCCCATTCCACCTCCACAGCCTCCTTGACCTCTTCAAAGACCACCATGGCCTCAGACAGATTGGTCTATTATGGGTCTATCAACGAAAACTTACCTCCTTCACCCTTTTTCCTAGAGTGGCTTTTCAACTCTTGTTAATGAGATAGTTTTCTAGTCATCTATCAATTACTTTCTCCTTACATTGAAGTTGATCAGGTCTTTTCCAACACATCTCATTCCTTCTTTCTTGAGCACCATAGGCAGCTGCCTCTCCTCTTTGTTGCTAACCCTGGGAGGCAGCTGGTTTTGTGGTCTTTCTGGAAATCTACATAGCAGTCTTTCCGGCTATGTTGGAGTTGGTCTGGGCCACAGCCTAAACTGCGCTTCTGGCCCCAGGCCCCTCAACGTTACCCCAACTGGTGTCTTGTTTCTTATTCTCTGCTGTCTTCAGCACCCAGAAGAGGCCTGATCCGTCATCATATAACTGGTGGATTTGGCTGGCGACCACAAGACAAAACCTTGCTGCAGGTGCCCAGCCATGATGATGGCCCCCCGGGGTGTACCTTTACTGATTGCAGCCAGCCATGCCAAGCCAACAGCGCCTGCTTTGGCTCTTCCATAAGGTGGTGGGTTGAGAGAGTCGGGTCGAACCATGGCAGCAGGACAGACAAGGCAAGTGCTTCTGCTAGAGATGTGGCTTTTCCACCTTTGGCTTAACAGGATACCATCACAATATTGGTTCCTTTGTGGACCCTCCCATTCAAAGCTTTTGCATGCTTATGGATCCCAATTTAAAAAACAGCAAAATTTTAAAAAAGCGATTAAAAAAACAGGACTGTCATTCACCAATCACACATAAAGACTGAATTTTATCTGTTTTGAAAATAAATGTCTCTGCTACACAGCAGTAACATATATGGTAGTAAGTTTTGTATTTAGAAATTCATTGGTAGCAATAATGTTTTAATAATTTTCAGAAATTATGCATTCTTCATGAATACTTTTTTATTGCTGCTTGCAAATATGTATTTCCAAACTTGAAATACATGTGTGAACAGTGTATACCAGTTTAAAGCTTTCATTTCTGTTTTTTTATTAAGCCTTTACATGTGGACCCATTACAAACTGATTTTAAATACTGTGCACAATTTTTTTAATAAAAATACTGAATCTTTTAAAAATATTTATTTTTTATTTATTTGAAAGGCAGAGTTACAGAGAGGCAGAGGCGGAGAGAAAGAGAGGTCTTCTAACCGCTGGCTCAATCCTCAAATGGCCACAATGTTAGGAGCTGGACCTATCTGAAGCAAGGAGCTGGAAGCTTCTTATGGGTCTTCCACAAAGGTGCAGGGGCCCAAGGATTTGGACCATCTTCTACTGCTTCCCAGGCCATAGCAGGGAGCTGGATTAGAAGTGGAGCAGCTGGGATTCAAACTGTCACCCATATGGAACACCGGCACTGAGGACAGCAGCTTTACCTGCTATGTTACAGCGCTGGCCCCACAACACTGGTTTTAATATCCACTTTGCAGGGCTGGTGTTGTGGCACAGTGGTAATGGTGATGCCTGCAATTCCGGCATCCACAAAGATGCCAGTTTGTGTCCTACTGTACACTTCTGATCGAGTTTGCTGCAGAGGATGACCCAAGTGTCTGCGCCACCCAAGTGGGAGACCTAGATGAAGCTCCCGGCTCCAGCCTGGCCCAGCCTTGGCCATTGCAGCCATTTGGGGAGTGAATCAAAGGATGGAAGATATCTCTTTCTCTTTCACATAAATAAATAACAATCTTAAAAAAGAAAAAAACTGTTTTGTATTTTCACACTTGGTCAACTGGGACATGTAAACTTTGATTTTTTGAATTTTACGTTGTATGGATTATTAACTACTTTATGTATTTCAATTTAAATATTCTCATTTCTGGGGGAAAATATTTTTCACTTCTCAAGATAGCTACTATATATGTTATATCTTTACATACAGAAATACCAGTACTTGAACAAATTTAAAGCATATTGGTTTATTAACCCTCACTCCTACATGGTTCATTAGCTTCAAATTATACCTGATCCACAATTAAATGTATTTACTTCTAAAATGTGTGACTTTCCCATTTCAAAAACCAAACCAGACACTTTGTGATAGCTGTTTAAGCTACTTATTATTCTAGAAACATTCTGTCAAGTAAAGTAGTTCTTTGGGTGTAGACTCTTTCTTCCCTTCACCAGAGTGGGTGGAATAAGTTGAATTGGTTAATGCATAATATTTGAACTGTTCTGTAAATTTATAAAAATTTAAAACGAACAACAAAGGCTTCTCCAACTTCCACCACCAAGTCTATAAACTCTTCTACATTTGCAGTTACCTTTGCCTGCTTTCCTCTTTTGACAATAGAAGCACAATGTGGTTTTACTATATTAAGCATCAATGACTCCACAATCTCCCCCAGTGTCTGTCATTCTCAAACACATACCTCCAACCTCTTTGTTCACTGGCTTCCTCTCACCAATATCTAAACATATCCCACCTTTAAAAGATCCCTCTTTTTAGCTCATGTCCTTCCTTACCTCTTCTCCCTGTTCTTCCCACTATTTAAAAAAAAAAAAAAAGTTGTCCATATTGCTATTTACTTACATTTGTCCTTAATCACTGCAATTAATTTCCATATCTACACTCTTTTGAAACTGTTCTTACCTGCTTTATCAATAAACCTTTTATCCAGTAAATTCTTGTCAGGTTTCATCTCATCTCACCTGCCAGCCACCTTTACTCGCATGTATCACTCCCTTCACTGAAACTCTGTTTTGGTGCTGTCTAGTTCCCTGGAAACGCACCTACCTGTGTAACTACTGCTTCTGACTATTCTTTGTGATCTGTCTCCCTTTCCTCTATCATTAAACTCGAGGTTCCTCAGAGGTATGTCAAGAGCCCTAGTCTTTTCATTCTTTCCTCATTCCCTCCTACCCACCAAGTTTCTCCCTTGTATCCCAGTTTAGATCACCCTTTTCAGCCACGTCAATACTTACTCCATAAGCTTTCTGCCTACAGAGCTGTTTCTGCTGTGTTCTCTACCTCAAAGTCTTCATTATCCAGCTTCTCAAGCCAGAAACCTGGCATCATCCCATTTCTTTCCTCTCTTCACTCTTAATATTCAATCAACTACCTAGCTGAGGTTATTCTGCTGAAATAGCTCTCAAATGAATTTTACTGACTTCCACACCATCATTACGCTATGTCTTCTTAAGGAGTCCTCCAGTTCCCAATCCTGTCTGCTCCAATCTATTCTCTACAAAAGCCAAAGCGATTGTTCAAAACTGTAAATGAAGGGTGAACATTTACATTAGCAGTTAAGATGCCTGCATCCCACATCAGAGTACCTGAGTTCCTCCTGCTCCTGACTCCAGCTTCTCACCATTGCAGACCCTGGAATGCAGCACTGAGGACTCAAGCCATCGGGTTCCTGCCTCCCACCTTGGAGACCAGGATGGAATTGCCAGCTCCTGACTTCTGCTGCTGCTTCTGGTACTGGGGAAGTGACCCAGTGATTGCGGGTTCTATGTCTCTGTCTCCAAATAATAATTTTCAAAAAACATAATTTATATCATGCCACTCCTATGCACGAAATCTTTGAGAAGTTTTTCTTTAGGATAAGCCTCTAAATCCTCCAGCATTTCCTCCTCAGTTTCATTTCTCTACTGTCCCCTCTTGCGAACAATCTTCAGCCATCATAAACTTCTTCAAATTCCTACAATACCGCTTTCAGCCTTAGAGCTGTCGTCTCACTTGAAATATGAAAAGTCTCCCTTCCTTTTCTTACTTTGCTGTCAACCTTCCAGCATAATTTACCATTCGAGGAAACTACTTGTGGACACATCTCCAGGTCGAACTTCTCTTTAGAGATCCCTAGGCAACCTGTACTTACATAGTCATTAAGAGATTTCTCTTGTAACTCACTGGTCTATATCTCCGCTTCACAGTAAATCTCTGGAGGGTAGAAAACCAGGTGCTCTTAAAGCCTCCATCTCAAGAGCCTAGACACAGCGTCTGGCACACAAAATAGTCATTCGATTAATATTTGTTGAATAATCATCCCTTTCGTTAGGATGATGTTGGTCAGAAAGATAGGGGCTTAGTTTAAAGCAGACAGAGTAAAAAAATCTGTAAGGTACCGGTTGGATAGATACAGGGTATGCAGGCTTTTCCAAAAAAACCGCTTGTATCCTTGAGGCATTAGTTCCTCTGCCTGCGGGCCCAGGCCAATTCCTTTTGCCTGAGGCTGTGGCGATTAGGCTACCGCCAGGAGCGCGCGATACCAGGCGAGATAGGACAATAGCTTGGAATTCGGCCTCGTGCTTCCGGTGGGGAAGCCTCGTGCCCGGCCGGTGAGGCCCGGGGGTGGGAGCTCCAAGTCGGGCCCACGGCGAGGAAGGCGCGCCTCCTTGGGCGCACCGCCGCCACCGCCGCTGCTACCGCCTCCTCCGACGCCGTCGCCCCGCCCCGCCCCGCCCCGGAAGTGACTTGAGGCCCGTCCGGAACTTCAGGGCCCGGCGGCTGCAGCGTCACCAGCCGAGCCGGTGCGGGGTGGGCAGAGCGGCCGCTGCCGTCGCCAACGAACCGAAGACCGCGCGGGGCCCAGCTGCGCGTCGGCCAGGGGAGGGGGCCTAGCGGTCGGGCCGAAGGGTGACGGGCCGCCGGCGGCCGCGGGGCGCCGACGACGCGGAGGAGGCGGAGCCCGGAGAGGGGTGGGGGCCGGGGAGGGCTAGGGTGGGAGGGGGTGGGGGGGTGTCCCTGTGCTCATGGAGCCGGCCGAGCGGGCGGGAGGCGGGGAGCCCCCGGAACCGGGCGGGCGTCTCGGGCCGGGCTGTCGAGGCTTCGTGCCGCAGAAGGAGATCGTGTACAACAAGCTGCTGCCCTACGCCGAGCGGCTGGACGCCGAGTCCGACTTGCAGCTGGCCCAGATCAAAAGCAACCTGGGCCGGGCCGTGCAGCTCCAAGAGCTGTGGCCCGGGGGCCTCTTCTGGACCAGGAAACTCTCCACGTAAGTGTTCCCAGGCCTGCGAAATGGGTCGGGGCACAAGGCTCCGTGGGAGGGCATCGTGGGGGTGTGGGTTGAGGGGGCTAGCTCTTTGTCCGGGCTGCTGGACCTAGCTAATGCTCTGTCCTGGACGGAGCTGTCCCCCCTGCGACAGCAGCTTGTAAAGCTTTCAGGTCTCCTTCCTGCGACCGGTCTCCAGGACCTCCCGGGACCTCATCCGCCCTCTGCGTCCTCCCAGCTGTCCCTCGTCGAGCGGCGGTGTTGTAGTCTTCCGGCCCCTCGGGCCCTGGGGCCCGGCGCGGGAGAGAGGAGCCGTCTCGCAAAGCCTTCTTTGGGGCTTTGCGTATGGGGAAGGCGGGGTGATAGCCTTGGTTTTCGGGAGAGGAACTCCTGACTTGTCTGCTTCTCCTCGTGCTTCCTCCTCCTCCTCTTCCTTCCCCTGCAGTCCCCGCCTCTACTCGTGTCGGTTCGCGTCTAGGAACTTTCTGAATGGGAAGGAGGGCGTTGGGAAACACTGCTGGGTTCTGCTTTGTGGGTCTGCTCACTTTCAGTGGATTTGATTGAGAAGACTGGTTGAAAATCAGCCCTCAGAGTATTCTTGGGCCCACCATGGGACGTTAGTGTTGAGAGTGTTGTCTGAAACCTTAGAGAAGTGTGCGGTATTCCTCTTGTGACATTTCCTTTCGCCAGACCTTTGCGATACTCCGAGAAATAGATACAGTGTCAGGTTGTGCTGGGCGATACTAGCATCAAACTTGAGTGCTTTGTTAAGGCGCTCAGACGAAGGCAGATTACTGAATTAGTTGCAGGAGTTGTGTTGTTGGCATCGTCTCTAAAAACCAGCTGCCACCTATAGTGTCAGTGAAATTACGGTCGGGGGGGGGGACCCAAACACCCCCAGTTAAAATAGTGTGCGGGCAAAAGGTTAGGGAGGTTGTTCACTAGAGGGGTATTTTCAGTGTCAGAACTTTGGAAAACATTTTCTGTATCTTGTTTGGTTAATGTGCATACGGTTCTACTAGCAGTGTTCATGCGTGTGAATGTTGGTAGATGAACACACAAGACATAAGTCACTTACTCAATGTTTACCCAAATCTGCTGAGTGAACTGGGTGATGACTCAGGGTTTTGTAATGCAATAGTCACCCTCACAGGATGATTCTTATCTGCCAGTTATTAGGGGACCTCTGACAAATTTCTTTTCTTTGGAGGGGGGTGTAGGTGGGAATAATTAGCTTTTTAATTAAGACAGGTGGGAATAATTAGCTTTTTAATTAAGAAGAACCAAAGCTAAAACAGTATTCCCCTTCATAGAGCAACCATAAAATGACAAAAGTGTCAGCTCTCTTCCTGACCAGAGTGTAAAGTTTGTACTCTGTTGGGATCCGTGGAAGGATTGTGGAGGAAAGGAATGTAACAGGGAAAAGAACCTCTGTCAGTCAAAACAGAAGAATGTTTTATAAACAATTACAATTTGAACACTTTTTCAAGTGCGCCTTCTAGGTGTTTGTGTTATTACTCAGGCACAGTAACAATAAAGTTTCCTTGTCAGTTCCATTAATTTCCTATTTAAATCACTTGTATTAGACTTGCCAGAGAATACCATTTGGGGTGACACAAACAGCTTCTTTTAGAGGCACAGTATATAACTGTGCTAAAATGTGAAGACGTATCTGGTTTGGATTTATGAAGCTGCAATCTACATAGGCCTAGATAAGGATTGTTTAGTGATGTTATTAACAAGTCTGGTAAATTAACACCTACAGTTTTGTTACTGTTAATAGACAAAAGTTCTTACCTAGAAAGGGCTAAAAATACAGTGGAGACAGCACATGGTGTTTGGGACAGGATTGCAGTTAGTGGCTTAATATATATATATATCTAACCAGCGAGAAATGCTATCAGGTAGAATTTTATTTTGGAATGGTGATTAAATACAGAGAACTGATTCTTGTGGTTGCACTGTGTGACATTTTGAACTTGTTGGGTGGGACGTGTTGTGGTCTTGGGTGTGTTTTTTCTCTTAAGTCATGTTAAGGTCACCTGTTTATAGTCGTGCTTGTTTTTTAAGCCTTGTATGTTGCATAAGTTAACATCTAAATAATGCCAAAATCTGTGATGATAGCTGAGTAGTGGTCATGTTTAGCACTTTGTAGCAGAATGGAAAATAGTAATGAAAATAAAATCTAGTTTCTCCCATATCTGCAACTTTGGGAAGCTTAATCATGCACTTTAGTATTCTTGTGAGTGAAACAAGAAAATTGAAATAAATAATTCCTGGGAACCATTTCTGTTATGGTGTTCTGTGATCTTAGGTATTTATTTTTATCCTGTTGAGCTCAACTTAAGCCTGTTGTATATTTTTCTAGAAGGAATGTGCGTGTAGTTTTTTTTTTTAAATTAATTTATCTATAAGGCAGAGTTACAGGGAGACAGCGAGCGAGGTCTTCCGTCTGCTTGGTCACTCCCCAAATGGCTGTAACGGCCAGCACTGGGCCAATCTGAAGCCAGGAGTTTCTTCCGGATCTCTCTCACTGGTGCAGGAGCTCAAGGACTTGAGCCATCCTCTGCTGCTTTCCCAGGCACATTAGCAGAAAGCTGGATCGGAAGTTGAGCAGCGGGGACTGATCAGGTGCCCATATGGGATGCTGGCACTGCGGGCAGCGGCTTTACCCATTACACCACAGTGCTAGCCCAAGTTTTTTTTTGTTTTGTTTTTGACAGCTTACGTATGTTTTAATTATATACACCTCATTTTTAAAAAACAAAACATATAAAAAGAACAGTTTGAAACTTATTTCAAATCTTTTTTTTAAAGATGTATTTATTCGAAAGGCAAAGTTACACAGAGAGAGATCAATCGATCAATGGATCGATCCATCTCCTGGCTCACTCCCCAAATGGTCGCAGAGGCTGCAGCTGGGCTCATCCGATCTGGAGACAAGAGCTTCTTCCAGGTCTCCCACACGGGTGCAGAGTCCCAAAGACCTGAGCCATCTTCTACTGCTTTCCCAGGCCATAGCAGAGAGCTGGATTGGAAATGGAGCAGCTGGAACTTGAACTGGTGACCATATGGGATACTGGCATTGCAAGCCACAGCTTTATCCACTCCACTATGCCATAGCACTGGCCCCTCAAATTTACTTTTAAATATAGATGAGAGAAGCAGATAAATTTTGTTGCGTAGTTTTTAAAGTACTGGAATTGGTTGCATAGATCAAGTACATTCCTAGAGAAGATAGTGTGAATGTTGTTCAGAGGCACTGGAACCGTACCACTAACCTAGGTATCATGAGTTCTGGTTTCAGAGGTACTCATGCTCTCCATTTAGCCCTGGTTTTTGACTTTGAATTATTTTATTTTAGTGTTCATTTTAGGAACACTAAAATGTTTGAGACTTGTAGGTCTGTTTAGTGTCTTTGACAAAAGGTTATTTCTGTGCGTTTTAAAAATTGGCCCTGTAACGTAAGCTCCTTTGTACAATTTATAAAGCATTAGGGCTACCTGTTGAAGAAAATCTTATGATGCAATACAGCACCGGGCAAATTTTTAAGGAGGGAAGAAACAAATTAGAGAAAGTGGGAAGAAAATGTGGTCCTTGGAAAATGGCAGTGAAGTTTTTCTCATGGACATGGTAAGTGAATGGTATTGTGCATAACTTGTATGGCCTATGTAAAGGAAGAGAGTTTGAAAGAGGCAGTATTGAAACAAGCTTTTTTGTTTCTCTTGTCTTCTTGACCATTTTTTTTTTTAAATTATTTTTATGTATTTGAAAGGCAGAGTTTCAGAAAGAATGAGATGGAAAGGGAAACATCTTCCATCTGCTGGTTCTTTCCCCAAATGGCTGCAGTGACCAGTGCTGGGCCAGGCTGAAGCCAGGAGCCAGGAGGCTCACCCAGGTCTCCTACATGGGCATAGGAATCCAAATACTTGAGCAGTCCTCTGCTGCTTTTCCAGCGAGTTAGCAGGGAGCTGGATCATTAGTGGAGCAGCCAGGACATGAATTGTTGCCCATACAAGATGCTGGTGTTGCAGGCATAACATCAGATGCTTCTTCCAAACCTTTTTTTTTTTCTTTTTAAATCATCTTTGGTCTTTTTTCTCTTTTTTTTAGATTTATTTATTTTTATTATTTAATGAATGTGAATTTACAAAGTGCAACTTTTGTATTGCTGTGGCTCCCCCCCTCCCATCTTTGATCTTAATCTTTGTTAGCTTTGCAGTCATCCTTTGGATAGTTTAGACTATTAGTTTTTCAAATTTAAAATTTAGTAGTGGTGTTTTATAAAAGCAAAATTTAAAACACAAGCTTGGAATTCCTAGATTAAAACTCGCTGCTTTTTTCTCCTTCCCTTTTTAACACTTAATTGATCATAGAATCCCTGACATGTGCCTGGGGCTACTGAACCCAGTATTTAGAAAATCAGTGGACTGGTTGGTCCCTAAGAGCTTTATTAGTTATGTGTTCTTTTAAATTGATAATCTGGAGAAAGAAAGGGAAAAGGGCAGAGAATAAGTGAATAGGGTACTGTCCTACAACTTTTCCTTGTCCACAGTCATCTTTTTTTTTAAACAATTTTGCCTTTTTTTAGAAGATTTATTTATTTGAAAGGCAAAGTTGGGGCTGGCACTCTGGCGTAGCGCTTTAAACTGCTGCCTGCAGTGCTGGCATCCCATATGGGCGCCAGTCTGAGTCCTGACTGCTAGATTTCTGATCCAGCTCTCTGCTATGGCCTGGGAAATCAGTACAGTAGAAGATGGCCTAGGTCCTTGGGTCCATGCACCTGCATGGGAGACCCAGAAGAAACTCCTGGCTCCTGTCTTTGGATCGGCACAGCTGGCCATTGCGGCCATTTGGGGAGTGAACCAGCAGATGGGAGACTCCATCCCTCCCTCCCTCCCCCCCTCTCCTTTTTCTCTCTGTGTAACTCTGACTTTCAAGTAAATAAATAAATCTTTAAAAACAAAAAGGCAGAGTTACAGGAAGGGAGAGATCTTCCATCT